TTGATTTCCTCATTTGCTCTCGTGGCAGATTGCAAAATCATTTTGGAAGCAACAAAGTCCCAGGACAATTGAAGTAGACACTACACGTCTATATGAGCAATTTGCCGTTAAGAGTCTGGGGACGTTTGCTGCGGTGGAGCACAACAACACCCAGGAGATTCTGCTGGACAAGAAGATCGCACACAACTTCAGTGAGTGACTCAACTGGTGTTGTGTTGTTTAAGACATGCAAAACAAACCCTCAGAGTGTGTTAAAAAAAGAATCTGGTTTGTTTAATATGAATGAAACTAGTTGAGCCATCAGGGACATGAAGGGTACAAATGTGCTTTTTCTTTAAAACAACCACCAGAGGGCACCACCATAAGCTATACAGTAGTTAAAACATAAGGTCTGCAGACCAAAACTGTCCCGCAAAAAAATGTTATTAGTCCAAAGGAGAAACAATAAAAGGGTCAAATTAAATAGACAATCACTAATAGTTTCTAATTGTTTTTTTTTTGTTTTACATACATTTTATATATGTATATATAACAGGTAAAAAGGATGTATAACTACATTTAAAACAGATCCAATCGGATTATTTCACAAAAAAATAGCCAGCATTTTGCATTATAAAATCAGAATGGTTTAAATTATTGAACAGGAAGTCAAATAATAATGAGTGAGAGGTCGTTGAGTTGAAGAGTTGAGGAGTGTAATGGCTGAGAGTTCATGAAATGTTTCATTTTTTAAAAAATATTTTTGCCCTTAAAACAGAAGTAAAGTTGATAGATCTGTTGTTACTATACTGTATATAATAATGATATACGTTATGGACCAGGTTGTGCTGTTTGGCAAAGAAAATACAAATTACAATAAATATTAAAATTTAGATTTTTATAAATTATACTATTTATAATTTACATTTATTTTAGAACTTTGTCTCCCATATTACTTTTTTAAAATCCTTTTTGAAATAATGACAAGGCTGTAGTGTGTAGCAGCAGTGACACTACAGTGGCTGTGAAGCAGGTAGATGGGTGTTCCCAACTATAACTGCAGGGGGCAGTGTTTCACTAGTCCAGCGCTACATCTGGCCTCGCAGAGAGACTGTGAAGTGGAACGTGCTTCGTCTCTCATCTAATCGGTTTTTCACTCTGGATTAACTTCGTGTAGCTTTTATATTTTAAGACCTGAACCGAGGGAAAGCTTTTCAGATGCTTTTCCTCGCAAGTTCGACGACACACAGACACTGGAGGAACCCAGAGGTCGTGGTGGTCCATTGTTTATTGGTCTGCTGTGCAGCGATCTCTGTGTCAGGCTTTAACACAGTCGAACTCAAAGAGTGGGTCGGGAGCCACAGATTGATTTTTAGGTAGATACATTTTTTGTAAAATTGTTGTATTATATGCTATAAGTGCATTTGGTTCCTTTCGAGGTCTATTCAACACAATATTTTGTTCCTTTAGCACAGATAACAGTAGGCGTTGTGTATAAGAAACAACAAACATGCAAAATGGTTCCTTTCGAGGTCTATTCAACAAAACATTTTGTTGCTTTAGCATAAATAACAGCAGGCGTTGTGTATAAGAAACAACAAACAAACAAACAAACAAAGATTAAATAAAATAGTGCAGGATCAAATTATTGTACAGCAGTGAAAGAGTTATTTTGGAATATACCAACAGTCAGTAGAGCAGAATTTCTTATTTTGCAGAAAATATTGAAAGTGAAACCAAAGTCAATACCACAAAACAGAAGATTAAAAGACTTTTATCTTCGGTGCTTTTCGTGATCCTGGTGTGTGTGTGTGTGTGTGTGTGTGTATAGAACACCTGTCCGTCCTGTATTGGTATTTACCCTGAGAGCCCCGGTGCATGCAGCCTATTTATGACTGGAAATGTCGCACTCCTAATTAAAAGTCCACCTGTGGCTCCGTGCACACAGTGGGTCTCACTCTCCATCTCCATACTTCAGTTTGCCAGGGCAACGCTGGGTTTTCTTCAGCGCCAGTCGACAACGTGCTTGATTTGCACATTTTGTGTGTGTGTTTATTTTTCTTTGTTCTTTTGCTGTGGTTCTGGTGTTTGTGATGAACAAAACAATCTCAGATAAAAACCTCTGCGGTGTTGAAATTAATTTCTCAGGTGGTTAGTGCCAAGGATTACCAGACTTGTGGATTCAAATTCCTAACCAGAACATTTTCCCATGAGTCACTGATTCTGCCTTTTTAGTGTCAATGAATGTATTTGTGACTTAAATCTGCCATTAATTACTGTTAATGTTAACTGAAGGGATATGTAATAAGTGATCGCGCTGTCAAAAAGTTCTAAGACAAATGAACAAATCTTTATTCTCTCCTCAGCCTTGACTTGATTGAATGCAATTTATACATTTCCCTCAGGCGTTTTAGTGAAAAGTAATTAAGGAAGAGCTTTTGTCTTCACCATGTTCTTTGACTCATTTCACAAGTTAAGAGCACTATCTGTCAAGAGGAAACCTTCATGTTGCATTGAACATGTCAACTTTTTTTTTTCTTTTAGACATTTTTCTCAAAAGTTTTCCCGTGCTGCCCGGAGAGCTGAAGGACAAACTCTTTATTTTAAATAAAGACGATGGAGGGCTGTCGGACGAACACATCATGTCGCTCAAGAGGTATGGCCTCATGTCAGCGAAGCATTGATTTGTGTTAATCTGTCATTGCACCACGGCTGATGAGTTAAAATTAGAAAAAATATTTAACATATTTAATTTTGATCAATCATGTAGGTAGTGCTGAATTAATTCCGATTAATCACGATCAAGATAAAATATTGATGTATGTTTATTTGTGACTAAATGATGAAATTATTAATATTTCAAAAAATGTCAAGAAGGTATAACTGGAAATTTATCTTTGTAGAGTTGGAGTGTTTTGATCTCTGTCCATCTTGACAGTGACTCTTGTCTTGACTATTTTAAGCTCTAGGTGTTTTGGTGAAATGAAAACGCTTTCCCACAGTGTGTGTAAATAACAAGTTTATCGACCATCTGTAGTAGAGCAACTATAGGTGGATGAACAGAAGTTATTTGTTAACTGGTAATTTTGACAGCCTAAGTGAAAATGTTTTCACTTACACTTTTCACTGTCCGAGTCTGCTACAGTTTGTCTGTTCAAGACGTTGTGACTGTGTTTTAAACCCACAGGACAACAAATCATCAGCGAGGGAGGTGAGTGTGCGTGACCACATCAATGAAGTGGAAAAAAAAGTTACACTTCACACAAGGAAAACACCAAGCGTTTACAAAAGTTATCAGTGTGTTCCAATACTAAAGAGTAGACGCCAGAGCCCTTTAACAGAGCGGCATTCTAATAAAAGTTTAATCTGCGGTTATTTGTGGAGATGGAGACTATTGACATGCCCTGAGGAATTCAACTCTGAAAGCAAGTAAAATGCTTTCTGATTCCTACCTGCAGTTTGCTCAGTGGCCCTGGATGCTGACCCCCCCGCGAGGGGAGGGTGATCTAATGCACTGTGTGCAGGGTTTTATTTATTCAATGAAAACCTAATATATACAGTATTTTAATATGCTGTGGCATCAGCCCCGGAAAAAAAAAACAATCTTGAAAGGACTACTCCCAACTGCAATATTACAGATGGCTGGTACTCCAGTGGCACATTGCCTGGTTCATGAAAAAAGGGAATGCCTTCAGTAGGAGGTCAGAATGCAGATGGGAATGACAGGAGGAGGAAGAAGAGTAGGAGGAGGAGGAGGAGGAGGAGGATGTCCAGGTTTAAACGACTGGGTTCAAATTCAGTGCAAGTGAGTAAATGACTGTTTCCATCAGCGTCTCACAGCTTTATAGAAGCTGATGAGGACCATCAACGCTACTTGGATGTTTAATCACTTCCTGTAGAAATCAATGTCATGGTCACGGTCCAAGAGACAGAGAGACAGGATGTGGTCGCGAACAAGAGGGGACGACAGATCTGTGCGTCAACATGTATGTTTCACATTTCTGTCGCATGAAAAATAAATCGTGAGGTAATAAATAAGAGGTTATTTAAAATAGTAAAATATGTACAGTATATCACTGACAATATGTCAGAAAATTCTACGACAGGTTTTACTAAGTAAAACATGTCAAAGTACGTCTCTCAGGCCGTTCTGTACTCATTATGTATTTGTTAAACGCCGACCAGTGTTACATTTACATTAAGGTTCAAAACCCGTACAAGACGGACAATTTTTAACCACACTTGAAAGGTAACGTGTTTGAATTATTAAAACTGATTTTTTTTTCTTTTCCAAAAACTGAGAAAAACATTTGAAAGGAACTGGATTTCAGTCCTTTGACGAGGTAGAGAAGCAGGTATTGACCAGGTCAGAGAAACATCCCTTAGATGTAAAATTCATGGAAACTTGCAAAGGTTTTTTTAAGTCAAATTGAAAATACACATATGAGAGAGCTGTGTTTCCAAACTAAAATAGCTGCAGTGTTAAAGTGTACATTTTCTTCCTCCCACACAGAATGTCAACAGATTTGTTTTTTTTTGAGTGTTCACTTGCTGCCGTCATCACTACTGTTTTCCACTACAGCTGTTTTCAGTGGAAAACACCAACCATTGACCACCTGGCCAACACCAAACTACACACAGACAAACTGATGAAGCAGCTGGTGAACAAAGTGAAGCATTTACAAGTTAAACAGCCGTCACTGCACCACAACAAATCTGATTTTTTTTTCTTCCGAGTACAAACAATTAGCTCACTTGATACTTACAATTTATTTTCCACTTTGATCTTTAACAGAGATTGAACGTGTGCCAAGAGACACAGAGAGTGAAAAGCCTTCACACGTCACATTCCAAATAACGAAAACAAGAGAGGGCTTGATGTGTAAATACAATATGGAACTGTTTGCTGATGAAACTCAAGTGTGGATGTGAAGTGTGTACAGTCTGTTTACACCGGCACAGAGTGGCTGAGTAATCAGCTTCTGCCGTTTTAATGAGGATATCTTTAATGAGATAAAGTTGGCGTAGTGTTTACTTTCAACAAGCTTAATATTTATCACTTCATCCATATGGAACAGACATAAAAGATTTGCTAAGACTGAGGTTAAAGGACTTCAAATGTTGAACTATTCGGTGGAGATTGATACTGATGTGAGATATATTTTCACATTATCACCGAACTTCACGCTGC